TTTGAGTTACTATGAATAGCCAACATTGTGTATATTCACACATTGTTTGTACACATCCTTGTGGTTATTTAATAGCAGCTTAAAATGTTTTGAGCAGTGTAACTTGTATGGTTCCCTGTGACTTCTGGCCTCAGACCTCATGGCCTGTCTTTGGAGTGTAATGCACCTCTCCGTTCTCTCCACACGCCATTTAAATGGCTGCATTGATGGAACACCAAGCATCATTTTCAGTTTTTGATTAAATTCTAAACACTGGGAATCATTCTCAGCTTTTGATTAAATTAGAGAGTGAGTGTGTGTGGGGATTGTTTTTTAAACATGTATCCAGGCAGCACCATGCCACCCTCCAGATCTCTCGTAGCACGTTACCAGAGCATGTGGATAACCTACTCATCATAGTCAGTACCTCCGACGTCCAGTATCCTCTCCTTATCTCCAACATTCTCTGCTCCATTCTCAGCCCAATTCCAACCAACCATTGGAACCAACTGGCTGAAGGCAACATTGGAAACTGCCATTAAATTCAGAAGGATCTGCAGGAAGTCAGTACTCCATCTGCTAACTCTCACTGCCCCCTATTCCTTCCAGCCTCTCAATTATTATTGGATACTGAATGTTATTTGGCTACATTGGCATGATTGTACTGCCCTCTCACTCCTCTCCTTCCCAAGCCGGGGATGCTGAGGTACAAGGGGATGATGATACTGTCACTCCAATAGTCATTAACTAGCTCAGCCCCGATCACACACACACCGCCTGCTCTATGCGGTTCAGCTGATCAATGTCTTCAACATCTTGGACATTGGCGAACTACTCTCACTGATTTTGATGAGCAGAATTAGAGCTAGGGTCACAATTCAGTTTTATATCGCAGCTCATGACTTAACAAATGTGACCGCCAAATACGCTGCTGCTAGATGCTGCAACATTCCTGTTCTGACATAACGTAGTTAGTTTGCAAAGAATTTTCTCCAGCTGTAGGTGCTGCAGCCACCAGGTCTGTGTTTCCTTATCCCCAAGGCAACCGTCATGCCTGTACTGTTTCCAACATTTTTTTTCTTCTTCAGGAAGTCGGAATTGTGGTGTCTGCAAAGATTAAAATTCCCCACATGTAGTTGATTAGAAATGATGCCTTTAATTTAGCTATTAGTGTTTGTTATTGTGCAATCTCTGGGTGAGATTGCGATCTGATCTCAGTTTTACAAGTGTGCATGTGATTCCCTGATCTGCGTGGTTCTGTCTGGCGTGGTTTCTCATTGCTATGGATATTCATGAGCACAAATATTGCCTTATTTTTGTGAATGCTGTAGCCAGTGGTATATGGAGAACACTTTTCCATTTCATGGCCTAGTGTCAGTGTCAAGTACTCGCCAGTCAGGGGTGTCACAGTTAAATGCAGCATAAAGCTCTCTTTTTCCTGCCTTTCGCATTACACCTCAGTCACAATCGCAAAGACACTCTAGCTTCAGCATTGAGACTGACCCATTTCACATCACGTCAGTTACTCACAGTTTGGGTTGCCAACTTTGTTTAAATGTATTCCTGGAGGTTTCATCACATAAGTTACTGCCTATAACTGCACCTCCCCATCCTCCACCCAGTGGTCACTATTGGTCACCTGACCTATCCATATGTGCTGTGCACCACCCTCCCAAACAGGCTTGTAGTAACCCAATTGGATGAAATTTGACTGTCAGTCAATCATTTTACTCCATCACCAGTATTTGGACACTAAAGAACATCTCTCCTTGGAGAAGAGAAGGTTGAGCCGAGATGTGATTGAGTGTTCAAGTCCATGAGGTCATCTGGACAGGGTAGATGCGAAGAAAAAGTTTACATAAGTGGAAGGGTCAAGAACCAAAAGGTCACTTATTCAATAGCAACATGAGGGAAATCAGTTTCACGCAGCAAGTGACTAGGATATGCAATGTACTGACCAGAGTGCTGTCAGTACCTGTTGAATTGATGCTATGATAGAGTCATACAGCATGGAAATAAACCCTTCGGTCCATCATGTCCATGCCAACCAAGTTTCCCAAACTTATGTTGATAAGTGTGAGGTCATCCATTTTGGTAGGAATAACAGGAAAATGGACTATTTTTTAAATGATAAAAAATTGAAGCACGCTGCTGTGCAGAGGGTGTCCTTGTGCGTGAATCGCTAAAAGTAGGATTGCAGATGCAGCAGGTAATTAAAAAGGCAACTGGAATTTTGTCTGCCATTGCTACAGGGATGGAGTTTAAAAACAGGGCGGCTATGCTGCAGCTGTATAGGGTCCTGGTGAGGCCACACCTGGAGTATTGTGTGCAGTTTTGGTCTCCTTACTTGAGAAGAGATATACTAGCACTGGAGGGGGTGCAGAGGAGATTCACTTGGTTGATTCCAGAGTTGAGCGGGTTGGATTATGAGGAGAGACTGAGTAGGCTGGGATTATACTCATTGGAATTCAGAAGAATGAGGGGAGACCTTTTAGAAACATATAAGATTATGAAGGGAATAGATAAGGTGGAGGCAGGGAGGTTGTTTCCGCTAGCAGGTGAAACTAGGACTAGAGGGCATCGCCTCAAAATAAAGGGAAGCAGATGTAGGACTGAGGTCAGGAGGAACTTCTTCACCCAAACGGTTGTGAATCTGTGGAATTCCCTGCCCAGAGAAGCAGTTGAAGCTACCTCGCTGAATGTTTTTAAGGCAAGGCTAGATAAATTTTTGAACAGTAAAGGAATTAAGGGTTATGGTGAGTGGGCGGGTAAGTGGAGCTGAGTCTCAAAAAGATCAGCCATGATCTTATTAAATGGCGGGGCAGGCTCGAGGGTCTGGATGGCCTACTCCTGCTCCTAGTTTTTATGTTCTTATGAACCAGTCCAATTTGTCTGCATTTGGCCCATATTCCTCTAAGCCTTTCCTTTTCATGTACCTGCCCAAATGTCTTTTAGATGTTGTAACTATACCTGCATCTACTGCTTCCTCTGGCAGTTTATCCCACATACGAACCACCCTCTGCATGAAAAAGTTGCCCCTCAGGTCCCTTTGAAATCTTCTCCTCCCACGTTAGAAATACACCCCCTAGTTTTGAAAAGACATCCACTATTCACCTTACCTATCCCACTCATGATTTTATCAACCTCTATAATGTCACCCCTCAACCTCTTACACTCCAGTGAAGATCCCAGCGTATCCAGCCTTAACCTTATAACTCAAACCGTCTAGTCCCAGCAACATCCTGATAAATCTTTTTGAACCGTCTCTAATTTAATGATATTCTTCCTATAGCAGAATCAACCAGAACTGCACACAGTACTCCAAAAGTGGCCTCACCAATATCTTGTACAACCTCAACGTGATATCCCAACTCCCATACTCAAATAGTCTGAGCAATGAAGGCAAGCATGCTAAACACCTCCTTAATCACTCTGTCTCTCTGTGACGCAACTTTCAAAGAACTGTGTACCTGAACTCCTAGGTCTCTCTGTTTGACAACACTATCCAGGGCCCTACCATTAAGCGTCCTGCCCTTGTTCACTTTACCAAAATGCAATACCTCACATTTATCCAAAGCTATAAATAGTACAAATATCTCTGCTAGGGACACTGCAATCTGTTCCCTAACTTCGCACAACGTCCTTGGATACACTTGATCAGGTCCTGGAGATTTATCCATTTTTTTTTAAGACCACTAGTACATCCGCTTCTGTAATGTGGACTGTTTTCAAGACATCACTATTTATTTCCCCAAGTTCCCTAGCCTCCAGATCTTTCTTTACAATAAAAACTGATGCAAAATATCAAAGTGCAGTTATATTATTACCTAGAAAGGAAAGATGTGCAAGTTAAGTAGAAAAGGCAGAGGAGTGGCACTAGGTGACTTGCTCCATCAGAGGACCAGCATAGGCATTGAAGGCTGAAAGGCGTCCTTCTCTGTTATGACCATTCTGTGATTCTGGAGATCCCTGGGGGATTGGCCATTGAACAGAGAGGGAGATCATGCATTTAAGCTGCGTCAGATTTGAGTATCAACTCATTTCCGTCTGCCCAGGCTAATTGTGCATAACGTCTTTTAATTTGGCAATGAAGCTGGTCATGTGAGGTAGAAGTCGGAGACTGGAGATCTTGGTAGTGGGAATAATATTTTAACCCTAGAAATCAGCCAAGCATCAGCTCAGTCTTGAATCTCAGATTTTTGACAGAAAAACGTGTCTAACCCACCCAGAGATAGTAGGAACTGCAGATGCTGGAGAATCTGAGATAA